TTCCTCCTAATGCCATCTTGATAGCACTTCCCAGCTCCCAGGTGGTGATTTCCGCAATGGCACTCTGAGAAAGCTGGTAGTGGACACCTCTTTCTCACTATGACTGTGTGTTGGTACACTCTGGCATTGGTGGATGTTCATCGTTGACTTGCTCCTCTCTTGGGGTGCTGTCCTGCATTGTTTGGAGCAGGGGTCCTCAAACTACGGCCCGCGGGCCACATGCAAATACAAATATTGTATTTGTTCCCATTTTGTTTTTTTACTTCAAAATAAGATATGTGCAGTGTGCATAGGAATTTGTTCATAGTTTTTTTTTTTTAACTATAGTCCGGCCCTCCAACAGTCTGAGGGACAGTGAACTGGCTCCCTGTTTAAAAGTTTTGAGGACCCCTGGTTTGGAGGTTTCCAGAACATCTCACTACAATGCCACACTTCTGGCTGCCACTTGCACCCTACGCTTCAGTTCCCATCTGATAGTTTGTGTCTACCCTCTTTCTGCTGAACTGGCTTTGCCCCTGGCAGCGTGCCCTATTGGATCGAGTCCCAGACCAGCTCCATCAGGTAAGGCTAATCTCTGTTTTGATTTGTGTGTAAGCTTGTGCCCAGTGAAGCCACCTTTCATTGCTCAGCCATCAGACAGGCATCTCTACCTCAGCATTTTATTGTTAGCATCCAAAAGCATGCAGCAAATCCAAATAAATAAAAGTAATCTAAATTTGACAAAATAATAGTAGATTAGCTAGTACCTTTACCACTCAGATTCAAGGGGAATTAAATATATAAGCAATCCTAGCAATCCTCTCAAGAACATGTATACTAAAATTAAGGAGAAGGGTAAGCACATTTTTTTCTGTGAAAACAGAAATAACACAATATTCCATACTTCTCCCAAAGGAATTTTTTCTTCTATTCAATCTGCATAAATTTATACCCTTAAGATAGATTTAGGGCTAATTTTCATGACACACACTTTTCAGACAACTCTCAAATTCATGTGTAGCTTGGCACCTCACTCTTAGAACATGAGGATATCTTGTATCTTCTGTTTTTTCTAAATGTTAGGATGGCTCTATATTTTTTATCGGATTTTCCACTTACCTATACAAGACTCCTTTCACTTTTTCTTGCTTCGCTTCCCTAAATTTTTAATACGGTCCTTAAGACACCCATTCTTTGCATATAAGACTTCTACTTTACCAAGAAAAAAGTGGTCATCCAGTGTGATTTCTAATTTCATCTATCTGCAAATTTAATTATCTCTATTCATATTTACTATCCATTCTGTCTCAAGTGAAAGATACCACCACCTTTTCAAAGATAAATTCATTACTCTAATATCGGTGTATGTGTTTTCTGGAATTATCCTTCAACATCCAAGTGTGTGTTTTTTCTTAGTTTTACATTTAATAGATTCCTTCCTTTCTGTCTATTAGCATGTTTACATGTCCTCCATTCTGAAAAAAAAAGTCTATAGTAGTTCTCCACATTTCTCTTTCACTGTCCTACCAAACTTCTTAAGCATGCCAATTTCTTACTTCCCAAAAACTCTTTTTTAAAATACATTTTATTGATTTTTTACAGAGAGGAAGGGAGAGGGATAGAGAGTTAGAAACATCGATGAGAGAGAAACATCAATCAGCTGCATCCTGCACACTCCCTACTGGGGATGTGCCTGCAACCAAGGTACATGCCCTTGACCGGAATCGAACCTGGGACCCTTGAGTCCACAGGCTGATGCTCTATCCACTGAGCCAAACCAGTTAAGGCCCCCAAAACTCTTTAACACTGTAGTCTTTATTCCATTCAATGATTCCTAAAGCCCAAATACAATACATTTTAAATTCTTTGAGTCTCTAAAAATTTTACATTTCTTTGAGTCTCAAAATTTTACATTTCTTTCTGAATCTCTTTATCACTTCTTTAGACCTGGTTTTCTGATATATATTTATTGTTAAACCCTTTGTAGATAAAGGCCAGGAATCTGCATTTTTAGCAAACTTCATATCAATGACAAACATGAAAAATAGAGAACTACTGGTTTAATAGCTAAAAATACACAAAACGATTTGGTTAATCAACAATGATCTACGGGGGAAGGGGATACTATTTTAACAGTCAGTTGAAAACATTTGTTATTTTCTCTTTTTCATTATCTAATCATAAACTAAACATCAAGGTTGAATTAAGAGGGAGGTGGCGCATATTACAGTATTTAAAGCTTCATAATAGGTTAGAGCAGCTTTAATTAAAGTTACCAGGACAGCCAGAGGGAGACACTATACGCCATAATTAGAAATGTGTCACCATAAAAATGTGTTTATTATAACCTTGATCCTATTTTCTTTGAGCAAAATGTCTAGAGACCTTCATTAACTCAGCAGATCCCCTTGTCTGTGCTGGTTGGTGAACAATAAGACCACTTATTTAATTCACCTCCATCTTTCAGGAGGCACCATTGAAGGAGGTTGGATTATTTCTTTGAAAAGCTTTTTCCTATGAACTGTCATTAACACTTGCAGATTTTTCTGCCTAGTGCAGGCTGAAATAAATGCTAATAACATTGTTAAACGATTGTTTCTTTTTTGACTTGAGATTGCTTAAGAATAATCCAACAATGTTAGCAGAATAATTACATATTGAGCCAGTTTGTGAGGCATAGGAACAGCAAGGAAAGTAGAAAAATACTCACTTAGGAAATATATCTTGAAAATAAAATGGCTGACATTACCAGTGTGGAGTTAGAGGGGAAAAAAGCTGGATTCATGGACAGATTTCCTGAAGTTAAATTCCATCACAACCTCATGTTATCTATACAAGTCTTGGACAAGAATTCTAGACCTTTATGAGTTTCCTCATTTATAAAACAAGAATGAACAGATGTTTAATGTGCCTATTTCATAGGATTCTGTAACAGCCCAATGCATATCACTCATCAGAATCATAACCTGTTTTTATATACTCTCAAAACAAAACCAAAAACGACTTAAGTGCAAAATCTGTTTTGCTATAAAAGAGGTTGGTTTTATGGCAAAAGCGACTACAATATTTTTACCTTGGTTTCTCTTTCAGCTCTTTCTAAAGTTGGTTGTTGGAGCAGATCAAAAGATAATAGCACAATATAAGCATGAATAAAATGTCAAAATAAATACTGAAATTGAAGAAAGATACTGGTTGAAATGGCTTGGAGTCAAACATACACTGAGTGGCCAGATTATTATGACCACCTGACATTTGTAGGCAAATTAGCTATAATTTCACGTTGAAGTTGCTAGAGGGCCAGACCATTATAAATAGGGAAGCAGGTTGTTTACCACGACAGTAAAAGTGATTTTTTTTTCTGAAGATATGGGTAAACAATGCGATTTAACAGCCTTTGAATGTGGGATATATATATATATGTATGTATATAACCTGCTTCCCTATTTATAATGGTCTGGCCCTCTAGCAACTTCAGCGCGAAATTATAGCTAATTTGCCTACAAACTTCAGGTGGTCATAATAATCTGGCCACTCAGTGTAAGCTCAGCATGAAGCAATGAAATAAGTTATGATTTCATGTTTAATCAATAGACTATAAAAGCCAGAATTAAAAATTTAATGTTCAAATACATAAAATCAGTATATGTGCAGACATAATAAAGTTTATCATAGAAATTATAATCATTCCACTAAAAAAAGAAAAAAATCCTTTCAGTTGTTCATTTTCTTTAAAAAACAAACAACTGAATTCTAGAAACTCATAGGGATTTTTTTTGGTAGATTTTTGAGAAAACAACCAGTTCAATATACATGTTTTTCATAGATTTACATCTATTATATATTCCCAAGGGTATTTTATATTGATAACCTTGATACTAAAAATATATTGCTAGTGTACATCTAAATTGATGAAACTATTTTGAAAAGCAATTGTCATATTCTTATAAAGCTAACTTTGTGAATACCCTACAGTCTAATAATTCCACTATTGACCCTTCAGATATCCTTGCATGTGGTACCAGGAAATTTGTTCAAGAAAATGTAGCAGCACCAAATAATAATTTACCAACAGAGAATAAATGAAAATTTGAGATATATCCTCATAAAATATTTAACTGTGGCTAAAATGAATTAAATCTAAGTACAAACCTCCAGATAAATCATCCTATATAATAAAAGGCTAATATGCAAATCGACCAAACAGTGGAACAACTGGTCGCTATGATGCACACTGACCACCAGGGGGCAGACGCTCAATGCAGGAGCTGCCTCGTAGTGGTCAGTGCGCTTCCACAGGAGTGCTGCTCAGCCAGAAGCTGGGCTCACGGCTGGTGAGTGCAGCGGTGGTGGCGGGAGCCTCTCCCACTTCCGAGACAGAGCTAAGGACCCGTTGGTGGGCCTAAATCTGCAGGCGGACATCCCCTGAGGGCTCCCGGAATGCACAAATTTCATGCATTGGGCCTCTAGTACAAATATAATGGAAGAAAGTCATTGAGAACTACATATATTATAATGTGATTTTGATAAAGCTAAAAAGAAAGCAAACTAGCAAATATGTTGTTTAACAAAACATGTATGTAAAGCACAACTATTTTTTACAACAAAGAGATAAGTAATCAAATATCTAGAGTATTGGCCACCCCTGGCAGGGAGGAAAGGTAAGGGGACAGGAGAGTTCTAAGAAGGCAGCGTTAAGGGTGCTGGCAATATTCGTGGGTTTTATGTTGCACAATAAATTTAAACATTATTATTACACATCATAACTTACATATGTATAAATACATCCATGTACGAATTAAATACACTATTCCTATGTATTAAAATCACCTAACAAACTAATAATTAGAAGTAAGCTGATTATGTTGAATTCATAATGAAACCATGATATCTCACCTTCATGCACATATTAGATGAACAGTTTCCGTGGTAAAGAAAACATACTAAACAAAGCCTCCAACTAAAACATGAAAAATAATAAATAATGGAAAATAACCAAATGAGCAAACCCAATTTAAACTCACCACCAGGGCTTTAGATCTGTTGCTTAGAAGTTTTTCAATATCCCTGGCTGCAATTTCCACCAGCTGGCGTGCATTATTTGGTTCCACAGTATACAAATCTTGGTATTTCTCATAAATCTATGTGAAAAGCAAAAGAAAATTGTTAAGAACAATAATTGCTTATTTGGCTCATAAGTTCACATTAGAATGTATTTAAAATCATAAACAATTGATTAGAAAAGTCCACCCTTTTCTTCCTTCACCTTGATCTTTCCTTTAGGTGTCTCAAAAATATGTATATAAATATTAGTTTCCTATAAGAACACCAGCTCGCCAAAATAGTTATGTCAACAGGCTGTAAAACATCTTGAACAACAATGCTTTGTATATGCAATTTTGTGACTTGAAATTGTACATTCAACCTCAAAACCTGGTATTAACTGCCATCAGCATTTTAAAAACAGGAGAACTGAAGTATGGGAGGTCAAACCTGGAGGATATGTGCAGTGAACAAAGGTAGGAGAGAGGGGACGTGCTAATATATTGAGAGAGACTTCCCACTGTTCTCCCTCACTGCAATCACTGAGGCTAAAGGGTTTGCTGTTAAACCTTATGAAAGGAAAGAGAGAATGAATGAATGAATATGAAGGCCCTGCTAAGGAAGGTTCATCCAGGTGACACAGGGAGCTTCAATTTCCCAGGGTAGTAGTTTGAAGGTCATCAAGGTCGACATTCAAGATTAGTTAAAACGGAATTGTGTAAATATTTTTATTATCAGATTGACTGTTTTGTTTTTAAATCGTTGAATCAAACCATACTGAAAGTAAGCTAGGCAGCAAAAGAAAACTCGGCTGCTGCATTTCTGGCTCACATCAATGTCCATGGAAGGAGTTCCCAGCATAGCTTCAGATGCACTTGGTATGCAGAGCCTGTACGCTCCTGGCGGGAGAGGAAGAATGGAAGAAAGGGGGTGGGGAGAGGACCAGCAACCCTATCTGTGGCTGGAGGGCTGAGCAGAGAAGGAAATCCCTTATGCATCCGACAGATGGGTTGCACATGCATGACTAAACCGTCTTTAAAAGCCAAGACCTGGCAGTTTTTTGCCATCTTATGAGAAGAGAATCCAGGCACATGCAGGAGCCAGTTCAACCCTGTTTTCCTAGCACAACCTCAGCATTCTGTTACTACCAACAGGTTCTACAGCCTGGTCCCAGCTGAGCATGGATGCTACTGGTGAACACTGGTTTCAAATGGACACAGACACATATGCTAACATCTAGATATATAAAAGCCTAATATGCTAAGTTTCCGACCAATCAAGGTAGGTTAGCTTGCTGCTAGGGTCCAGCCATTCGGGACTGGGCGAGATGGGTGGGACAAGCCCTGGAGCCCTCCCGTGGCAGTTCCTCCCTGGCCAGCCAACCCCCATTGGCCCCAATTGAGACTAAGCAAGACAGCCCTGATCGCCAGCCAGGCTGAGGGACCCCACCAGTGCACGAATTCATGCACCAGGCCTCTAGATTATTTATAAGAGTATGTTAGTTTACATAGAATTAACATTTTTATTCAAGTGATAAAAATTAATCATTTTAAAAGATTTAAATCAAACTTTTACTCCTAATTTCATTTAATTTATTCAAACTATGAGGTTTTTCCATACTAGACTTAATTTGACCTTGTAGGTTGTCATTTCACCTATTCAAACCACAGTAACTTAGCATATACAATCTCCATATTTAGTGTCATCCAGGATTCCTGCATATTACTGGACTATGGACTGCTTGTGTTTTCTTCTGCAGGGCAGATTATCGAGCTCTGTATTAAAGACCCAGGTTATCCATGATAAAAATCCATCCAACTCAAGGCTCCCTCTTTTATTTCAGCCTAAGATGACATCCAAGAACATGACCTCCTGAATAGATTAATTGATCAGGGTACAAAAAGATAAACCTCAACATCACTTTAATTGATCCAGGATATTTAGTTCTTTGCAGTGAAACCAATATAGCTAATTGGTATAAAGGCAGCTGTGCTTTAAACCATTAATGTCTTCCTTCTTTCTGTGTGAAGTCTGATCTCCTTCCTGTGGTATAGAGACTACAATATAATTCAGAGTTGGTGAAGATTAGTTCAGGATGCATAGTCTGTACTTCACATTATGTACTATAAATAAAGACATTGATTAATACACTACCTACAAAACCAGAAACATTATAGGTGCTCTAAAGAATGAGAGGATTATAAATCAGAAAAAGTTGGTTCATATATATATATATATATATATATATATATATATATATATATATGTATATATATATATATATATATCTTTTAAAATATATATAATCTATTCTCTCAAATTATGTTTCTAGGGTAATTTTTTAATGCTTAGAAAAAAACAACAACAAGATCTACCTGGGTAATAAACTTTTTAAAAAAAATATGTTTTTATTGCCCATATTTTTAAAATATATATATTTTATTGATTTCACAGAGGAAGGGAGAGAGAGATAGAAACCAATGCTGAGCGAGAATCTTTGATTGGCTGCCTCCTGCATGCCCCTCACTGAGGACTGAGCCCACAACCGGAGCATGTGCCCTGACTGGGAATCAGAACCTTGACCTCCTGGTTCATGGGTGGACGCACAACTACTGAGCAACATCAGCTAGGCGCAAATAAACTTTAAATAAATGTAAAATTAAGGAAGGTTAAATCTCGATCCCCAGTGTAAATATCCTGCTGTTTGTTCTACATATAAAACATTTGAAATATTTTATTGGTAATAAAAATGAATTTGAACCATTTAACTGTCCCACCAAAAGAAAAACTAACTCTTGCTTCTGGTTTTAAAGACTACAATATTCTTTGTTGCATAAAGTATCGAGAAGGCTCTCAAAAAGTCTACTGGTTTTTGTTTTATAAACATTTTCAGAGTAGAAAGTTTCACATGGATTTTAACATTATGTATTTTCCTAATGTACACAAATTTATAATTTTTCTCCCACTAAAATAAACCACATTTCTATACTCTTTCACATGTTAACATACGACTATTTGAAAAAGTCTGAAGTATCTTTTCCTCTTTCTAGTATTTTGTTTCCTTAAAAAACAATGACCTGCTTTAGCATTTTATCCAGTGTCCTTTCTGAAAGAAAAACATTTTGGTGGAAATAATAGGAGATTTTGTGACCAGACAAACTCCATTCAAATCACATGTTGATTCCTCACATGCAGTGTGACACTGGCTTCCATTTCTTCTGCTAAAAAGGATACGGCCCATAAAGACACCCCCGGGCAGGATGTTTTATCCTGCTGACCGATGCACAAATATGCTTTAGGTTTTCTGTTGTTCAAGTCCTCCCCCTACTATCTTTGACACGCTTTGACAAAACAGTACTTGTCGCCTGTATATTCTTTCTTTCTTACAATTTTAATTAACTGGTTTTAATGTACTTTCAGTATTACATTGACAGACCAAATTTTGTGGTAATGACAACAGAGAATATGGTTTCCCTACCTTTTTCATTGGAAACTTCTAACTCGCTCTGCTCTAATTAAGTCCATAGTTTCAAGATAATCTTCAGAATCATACATTTAAAATAATCTCAAATGTAATATCTAAAAGGTGACAACACTCATTGATATAACTGCTTCATAAAAATACCTAGAGAAATGTTTTTGAAATCATAAGCCTTAGTTTTAGACGATGAATGATGTCATAGACTAATGCAGATACCCCTGATGCTCACAGAAAGCCAGATACACTTCCAAGTTCTGGATGATGGACAAGACTGGATTAGCAATCACTTTCAGGCAGCTCCTCTCTACCACTCACTTTAAGAAACCTAAAAAGTGCATTCAATTAGCCATCATATTAATGGGAACACTGGGGTTCAAGCTCTTGCATATCAGAGTGGAGTGAGTTTTACTCCCATTTCACTTCAAGTATGACCAAACTACTGTCCGGACCAGCAGAAGGTGAAATGGTTAGGCAACGTGAGTTCGCAATACCCTTCTGCTCGAAATCCCCGTTGGCTTCAGCAGGATGTAGGGGAATAGAAAAGCCCCTGAGAATGAAGGGTCAGTTTGTCTGCGAGGAGACAGCCCTTGGTGCAGGAAGAGGGGAGCCCAATGCTGAGACTGAGGGATGGACGGTGGGAGCAGAGGTCCCCCTGGAGGATGATGGTGAAAACCACCAGAGAGCCCTCAGCAGGAAGAGGAGATTGACCAAGTTCTTAGAGGCAATCACATTCAAGATCAAATACACTCCTTCACACGAGTTTCCCCTTGTGCCCAGATGCCAAGGAGCAAATTCAAGAACATGAGAAAATACTGAAAGGGAGTTCCAATTTGAAATGTACTAAATCTAATACTTTCCTCCCCTGGGAGAAAGAATGGCAGCTCATGAGTAAATTTCCTAGAGAAACAGTCAAATTTCTGCGATTACAGCTTATATATGTAAACTTGGTAACGCCTTCCCTCAATACTTGTACATTTGCTTTCCTTCCACAGAACTTGTCCTGCACAAGCAGTCAAGATCTCAGCCGCCCACAGCCATCTTTCTGAGGAAAGGTTCCCCTGTGACAGTCCCTGATGAAAGAGGAGCTCTAGAGTTTCCTTATAAATGGGTAGCATTATTCTAATGCATGACCTTGACTTGGGCCCTTGCTTAATTGTATTAGGATATATCAGACCTGCAAGCAGCTAACTTCTGAATCAGTGGCCTATAGGAGCCAAGTACAAAAGATCTGTTTAAACAGTAATACATTGCACCATTCAGAGTCTGACTGTAGATGACAGTGGGATGGATCAAGGGCAGAAGCAGAAGTGAAAAGGCTAGTGGGAGGAAAAGAGTATTCAGACACCGAGGGACAGAAGTGATGGCGATGGTAGGCACAATAAAGGCCTCCCAACGAGATCCACATCCGAATCCCCAGAATCTGTGAATACGATGTCACGTGGCAAAGTGGAATTAAGTTTGCAGATGTAATGAAGTTTTGCTAATCAGATGAATTTAAAATAACGAGATTATCCTGGAGTGTCCTGGTGAGCCCAATGTAATCACAAAGATCCTTTAAAGTGGATGAGGAAGATGTGACTCTGCAAGAGAAAACCAGAGTTGGTAGCATGAGAAGAA